TTTATGCAAATCATCAGTGCGTCAGATACTTAGTACCGTTACATTACAAATTGTCAAAAAATGGTCTCTAGAATTTTTTATCTTCGGAATAACAATATAGGATCTCAGTTCAACCTGGTTTCTGAGACGACTGTTTTTACACATCACATCACATGAGTAATAATCGTCACATGAGTAATTATCCAGAACTACAGTGTTTGATATGTACAATATCACTACATAGTATGAAACAAAGTAGCTTTCTCTGTCCCTATATATCTATGTATGCTTATATATTTAAAACTACGCAACGGACTTTGATGCGCTTTTTTTCATAGATAGGGTGATTCAAAGGAAGCAAGGTTTTTATGTATAATGCAAGACCACGAGGTCGAATCCGCTGGCGGAAAGCAAGTTATAAATAAAATACGAAATAATCTATTCCAAACATTTATTGGGTCTTGTAACTATGGTGTTTAGCTCAAATTGCAAGAAAAATATCGCCCACTAAAACAATAATAGCATCTCAATTAAAAATATACATGACAGATGTTATTATATTACTAAATCGATGTCGAAGAGAAAGTAGATCAATCGATTAAATTGCGTGCTCGATATTTATAACGATCATAATGTTACGTTGTAATATAATAATAGTGAGTAAAACTCGATCGTTTTAGATTATTATTAATTGACGTTAAGCGTAGGAGTAGATCGCTAGGTATGGATAGGTTACGGCCCGCGCTCATTGTTGTTAAGCAACTTTTGCAAAAGTCACGGGATGGGTGACCGAAAAGCTCATGGTCTCGAGCTCGAGAAGTTTAGGAGCCTATTCAATGTAAACAAACAAATAATGAAATGTTTTCGTTTTATATTTATTTTTTTCACTACTGTGATTGATATACAGGTGCTGTTACAACAAATAATCCCTTAATAATATTTAATATAAGTAAATATAAAAAAGTAAATGATTATAAGAATGAACAAATAAGTATCGAGATCAATATGGGTCGGCGGCGGCGGTATCAAAGCTGGTTGATACTCGCGCACTTGCGCAGGCGAGGCGTCTCGGTTCAGTAGTCTGTCGGTGGACCGACGTCATGATTACTTTTTTTATCGATATAAGGCTGTGGCCAGCGTTCACTGGTATTTGTATTTGATTTTGAACTTTTTGATTATTTTTAATAAATGTACCGTTGTTCATACAATATAATACCTACTATCTTCATCTTCACACTGAAGGCTATCAATATACCTGTTAAATTGGTTCTTAAAATTTCTATTTGTATATAGAAAATTATGTCGTATAAATTTGAGTATTATATTAACACTGGATTTCCGCCAGCGATTTCGCCCTCTTGGTCCTATATTATACATACAGGGTAATTAGAACGGATCCTTTTAGGGGGTCGTAAGGGAGGTCATTTATAATTATTTTCACCTCACATTATGTATCCGAAAGTGAGCCATTTTTTGTGATAAATTGAAGTTTTTTTCTTTAAAAAGTCGAAAAAGAAATAATTATGGTCAGAATCTAATTTTGTTACCAGTTTTGGAGAGATAACATTTCAGTTAGTGATAAATAATAATAAAACCCAAATAATCTTGACCCAAACAGAAACTACAGAGGTTTAAATTAAAAAAAAAAAGTTTTTTGTTGTTGAAAATTTGCAAACAACAAATTTGCAATACAATACAATGATGCATTTAAAGAAAAACTTTCTGATATACAATGTGGGGTGAAAATAATTATAAATGACCTCCCCTACGACCCCTTAAAAGAATCCGGTATAATTACCCATAACCCTGTAGAAAACGTCCTCTTGAATAATTCTCTACTTATATATTAATTTAAAGCACATTAAAATCCGTCGTGTAATTTAAAAGATCTCAACGTAAACAGCGGGGAGCTACTTTATATATATTATATGCATTTACAAGAATTCGCTAGATTCGATATTTTCCGATATCTATATCCATACTTAATATTATTAATAGGAAAAATTTCATTGTTTATTTGCAACGAATAGGCTCCGAATCTATTAAACTGATTATAAAAATTCTTTCACCAAGAAAGTTATATCATATGCGATGAACATAGGCTATATGTTATCCATAAAAACAGTAAATAAAGGTACGAAAATGGGCGTGGTAGTTTGTATAGTGACCATTGTTTACTATTCAATTTGTCACATTAATTATATCAGTATAATAATATGAATCGATATCCAATTAAACAGTTCCCTAAGGACCACGCGGGCAAAACCGTTGGCGGAATGCTAGTAGGTCATCAAATTAAATTATCTCTACTCCCATCCACCAGATGTTACGTAAAATCGTCAATAATTCAATATATTTTTTTAAGAAATGTCTCAGTTCAAAAACCCATTTCACAAAACTGTACACCGTATAATATTTAATAATACATTTTATCTTTTGATTATGAAACATAATATTCATACCTAAATTGACGCATACATTTGAAATCGTTTAAACACCACTGTAAATACGTCTTTGGCAGTAACGTTACCAGATAAGAGATGCGGCTTCGTTTGCGGCAGAGAGCCGATCCGATCGGTCGGCAGCCGATAATCCAAACGCAACTGTCAGCGGATGTTGTTATATATAGAACGCACGATAAACGCTCCGCTCGCACCACCGCGATCCGACACTGGTGAAATTGCGAAAAAGGGTTGATTAAAAATTATTTATTTGCATTTCGTACACATATAAAAGAAACAAAAGAATAATGATAAACTTTTCTATACATGGCTAGTTAACATGGATTGTTTTTAATATAGACGTTGAAGACTTGAAGCTTTTACGCGTGATTGTTATAATATGTAACGTTTTAAAAAATAATACTCATATGTTTGTTTACATTTAGTGTCACTAAAACGTAAAAATATACAAAATACAATTAGATGTAGCTATTTAAGAATAATTACTAAAAAAAAAATCATATTTATTACAATGTCGTTTCATTTTCAAATAGACGAAAATATTTTATGAAAATTGCTAATAGTATTGGCAACCTAAAGATAATACCACAACTCTAGTTACAAAGCAAGACGCTATTAATAAGTTTACCATCTATATCGTTAATTAAATAAGGAGACTTTAAATAAAACCGTTGATGCGAAATCACAGTAGGAAATAGAAAATATTTCAATACAGCAAATAGAGTAGGCAAAGCGCAACACAGACAGCTAACTAGCGAGTGATCTTATCTTACCACCATCTGTCTAGTCGTCTCGCCATCGCCATATTGAGGATTTCGTGTATTTAGATCTTGAAATCGAACCTGTACTTCTTCACAGAACTCTTTAGTATTAAAATAAAACTTAAGTTTTGCAGCTCATCTTAAGACAATTAACTTTGACTAACTTTATCTAGGCTCTAACCGTTCCAATTATAAAAAAAATAGGAATGTGAAATGCTAATTAAGATGTTCTCACAGATCTTCGACAGTTTGCAATCAACATAAACTCGCTAGATGTCCATAAAGAATTTACTGTCGTAAAATATTAGATCATTATATTTCTCTTGATTGAATCCGATATTCATGATGTCAATAATTCGACCTCATTTAAAATCGCCCACCCACTAATCACCATGAAATTCGCATGGGATAAAGCCGATATATATGAAAAGAACAAATTGAAACCAGATATTTCTTCTCGATTAATAAACGATTTTATTGATACTACTTTATCGGAGACACGATCAAATTTTTTCGCCCAATACAATTGACGCGGCGTTCCAATGTTTAAAGAGGAAACAATTTTTATAATTTCTCGACAGATTCACCATTAGACCTGTCGACGTCACTACTATCAAGAGTTTTATTACCAATATCACCGCCTTCGGGTCCGGAAGATGAACACAAATCTGTATCCGGGGATTCTCTTACCTCATCATCTGCCGGTTCGTCTAGTGAATTATTGGAAATGACGCCGAAAATCCAAAGAAGGCCGACCAAATCAGAAAGAGCTTTATTACCTTGTGAAGTTTGTGGAAAAGCATTTGACAGACCTTCACTCCTCAAAAGACATATGCGTACGCACACTGGTAAGCATAAAAGTCGTTATATGCCTATTTAAAATTCATCGCTAATAAATTAATTTTAATTTATTCAATAAAGGATTGGTGTTAATCATTCTCGAATCAGAACTAGATAAGATCCAAAGCTTTGCAATTATTTAACGTTAATTCTATCCTCTATTGGTATTTATGTAGTTAATTAAATTTGATAGATGTGCCTTCGTTTAGTTTCTCGCTCTATTCCTTTTTTTAACTTTGATTTGTACCGCCAATTACGATTCGTGACATCCAATACAAATTGTTTCAATTTACGTATTAATTATAAAGGGTTTAGCCGGATACATATGACGAGTCGGCCCCCAAATGGGAATCGATATTGAAACTTATGTTTTAATATAGACTTGATGTTCAAACACGATTTATGTACTTTTCGCGACCGACTTCCGCTTTGACCTTGAGCTAAAGAGCAAAATATCCGTATGCTTGACTATTACTGAATGTGATATATCTCTGAAGCTAATTAAGATAAAGAAGTGAAACTAACGCGAGGTGTTAGGTTACATTACAGAGTATTTCACATATATTTTTTTATAATTTTTAGAATAAAAAATTACATTAAAAAAATAAAAAATAAAAAAAACATGTTTTTTTTTCTGAGTTCTCTGTGACTTACAATCACGAAATTAATATATGTTATGCTCCTTTGTGTGCTCTATCACCCATAAAAATTGCGTGAAAAAAAAGTTGGTGCAACACAACGAAAAAAAATTATATGTGATTCGCGCCTTGTAGTGTGAGTGTATAAACAAACAAGTTCGAACTTGTTATCGCGCTGTTTACTGCATCGTTTGTTTAGCTAAAGTCGCAGTCATTTGTATTACACAAGAAGGCAGTTTGGGACTCAAATTCTGTCATAGGTATTTTGTATCAGCATTTTGAAATTATTAACTATCGAACCAAATCATTATTAAGTAATAATGTCGAGAAAGTGTAAAAATTGTAACAAGTACCTGTGTAAGATTCCTGGTTATAAAAAAATTATAAAGAATGAAGAAGAAGCTAAAGTGTTTAGTGACTGTTTGAATAAAATCGTAATAGTTAATGATATTTTTTGTAAGAAGTGTCGACTTACCCCATATATTAACAAAAAAGCTTCTACTTCTAAATGTGCAGCATTTAACTTGGCCGAAATAATGGACGATCAAAATAATCTCTCAGTACAATATGTGAAATCAGCACCTAATATCATCAAAGCAGAAGTAAAATCAAGACATATAAATAGAAAAGTCTATCGAATTTACATTCACTATATTTCCGAAGGTAATGACTACAATAGTATTCTTCGTTATTGCTGTGATTGCCCCAATGGCAAACGTACAGTGGGATGCTGTTCTCATGTAGCAGCTATTATTTATTATCTATCATATGGATGATATTTGTCCAAAATCGTACGTCCTGCTGAGGTCCTAACTAAGTTATTTGCGACTCAAAGTGTTCCGATTGTAATTAATTACAACAGTGACGATGATTAATATTTTGTTTCTTGTATTTTGATAGACACGAAAAAGTAATAATAATAAGTATTGAACACTGGCTGTTTTTTTTTTCATTTCTTTTTTAACTATTATCCCATCTCTTAAGACTATTTAATTATGTTTTAAAACAAGCTGATGTGAAATTTCGAAAAAAAAAACAATGATGTAATGTGAAAACCTTATAATACAGGGGTATACCATAAGACAGAAATCACATATAATTTTTTTTCGTTGTGTTGCACCAACTTTTTTTTCACGCAATTTTTATGGGTAATAGAGCACACAAAGGAGCATAACATATATTAATTTCGTGATTGTAAGTCACAGAGAACTCAGAAAAAAAAAACATGACTTTTATATTTTTTACTTTTTTTAAGTAATTTTTTATTCTAAAAATTATAAAAAAATATATGTGATATACTCTGTAATGTAACCTTACACCTCGCGTTAGTTTCACTTCTTTATCTTAATTAGCTTTAGAGATATATCACATTCAGTAATAGTCAAGCATACGGATATTTTGCTCTCTATCTCAAGGTCAAAGCGGAAGTCGGTCGCGAAAAGTACATAAATCGTGTTTGAACATCAAGTCGATATTAAAACATAAGTTTCGATATCGATTCCCATTTGGGGGCCGACTCGTCATATGTATCCGGCTAAACCCTTTGTTTGAAAATAGGGCTACAGTAATAGCTTGATCTCGATTAATTTTGTTTTAGGTGAGAAACCACATGTTTGCATGGTCTGCAATAAAGGCTTTAGTACATCCAGCAGTCTAAATACACACAGAAGAATTCATTCCGGAGAAAAACCTCACCAGTGCCAACATTGTGGGAAGCGGTTTACAGCAAGTTCCAATTTATACTATCATCGAATGACACACATAAAGGTTAGTGATTTTTTTTTTGTATTGAATTGGATACGTTATTTATGTTATATAACGATATATCAAAGGGCGGATTTAACGCTATACTATATTCTTATTAGAAAGAGTGTCTAATAGAAAGTACTACGGGCGTGACAATGATATTTTAAGAACCAACAATAACTATAATAGAATTATATACTTACATGAACACACACACACACACACACACACAAACACTTACCCGCACATACTATATATACTAGGGGCTGTTATGACCTAATATTTATTGAAATGGTCCCCCCAGTACGTTTCTAACGGCAGAAAAGAATTGTCCAACGGATTTCACTTTTGCACGAAGTAAATTATTACGAACATTTAAATTGAAACTTTTTGGTAATGTACCAATTATTGCCAATATATATTGTATAGCCAACTAAGAATCTATGTATGTGTAATATGATACTTCTTTGTTACTTCATAATATATAGTTCACACAATACCATATAGTGTGTGGGTGCACCAGGGCGGAAAAGTCATGCGTCTTGGACCGTGGTCATGGGAACGTAAGCTTTTGAAAAACCGTTGAAATCTTTACATTGTTTTCAAGTGACTCGACTTTTGTCTTGTTTGATAGTACTGCTTTTGTGTATATGAATATTTTTTGGATTTAAGTATTTGTTATAAAATCACATATTTGTAAGTATGTAAAGTATGCGCAGCATATAAATGTCCGCATAACTGGTAAAGAAGTCAAGGCCAGGCTACCCAGGCTAGAGACATTTCTAAAGGAATTTACTGAATACATCGTCACAGTCCTATATTTTGTACTGTACTAAAGTTCTACATAGTTTTTAAAATTTCTGATTTGTGAATGGCATTTTATTTTAAACTTCGAATTCATAAACTTACCAAAAGGTTTGCATTGCAGTTTCTGATTCTTAAGCGGATTACACATGGACACCAATCTTAACACCGAATACCTATTCGGACAGAAAACGCGACATCTCAGTGTTCTAAGTAATTTACCACACTGACTTTTTTCTTTTCTTTTCTTTTTCCAGAATTTTGAAGAAACTACGAACTAATCTAACGTCTTAAAGTAATTTATTTTTAACGTTTAATTTAGTCCAAGAAATTTGACTACACTTAAAACTATAACGGATCTTAAAACACATGTATTTTAAACATCTACAAATACATATACATAGATTGAACTTTTCGATTAACTATTCATTATTTAATTAGCAAGTTCTTTTCCCATATATTTAACCCTCTTACTTAAAGCAATCTCCTGGATACGATGTAATTAATAGAAAAAATAAAAATAAAAAAAAACAATAGCCCGATGGTGTCATTACTTGCAATCTGTTGCAACTTCAGCGTGCACACAATTAATAGTATCTTATCATGCGACGCATCTAATATGCAATGCACTGCCATTAAAACCATTGAGTATTTACTCAATCAAGGAAACATACACCATGTAATAGCTCCGTGAAACTATAAAAACAAGTTATCCTTGATGAGACAATAGTCTGTGCTATTACAGTTTTTTTTCTTCTTGTAATTCCCATAATTCTTAGGAGCATATCCTTTTGTTACACATCAGAATTGTGAGCCAATGTTTTTGTTTGAAACGCATTCCTGTATACAGATAGTGCTTAATAATAATTAAATATTAATTGATGATTGTAAAATTCTTTTTGAAATGAAACTAAAATTCCTTAAAGGTATTATTTCTTCTACTGTATGTTATGAGTTAACGTTGTGCAAAACAAAATTTATAGGTTTACTTTTATTTAAAAAAATAAAACTAATGCAATTCATAATTTGATTTTACCGATGTTTTGTTCTTCGACTTAATAATCCATTAAGTATACAATTATCTCAATCGATTTAAAGTGTAACGTGCTAAACGTCAATCAAGTGTCTTTTATTTATAATAATGCACTGAAAAGATTGCACAAAAAAGGAAAATGACATAGTCGCACGTAAATATTACATATTCTATAACCTGATTATGTTATTGATTGTACATCATAGATCGTAAAACACCCGGCCATTTATCTTGGTCTAATTAAATCTTTCCCACTACCAATTTGAATTAAAATCTTAGTCCCGACTCCAAAAAAACATAATTGCCTATGAATAAGTGCTGGTAAATTATTCTAAGTACTATATTACGGGTCGGTAAAGCTTGGTGCATATTATACGGTGATGTTACCGTGTTCACTCCCATAACGCCCCACCTAGAGTTTTTACTTACTTAACTATGACCTCATGTGTCCGCAACTTAAGAAAATCACACAACATTTTAGGGCTGCCTCTTCTGTCTTAGATATATGTCTTCTATCTTTGTTATGGTTATGGGCTTTGGACTTGACTAATTTCAATAATTTCGGAGTTGACTTATATCAAAATATATTAAAAAGGGAATAAAAAATTATAGCAGTTAAAAATAAGATAATACTTTCTCAACAATCTTATCATATCAATACTACTATAGCCGACCTCCCTATAGCTAAAATTATTAATTGTGAACTAGTCATCACCTTATGCAGAGCAGGTAGAGATTGATGTATAGTAATTTGAACAGGGACGTGCGTCAAAAATTTAAACCAGCGCCATCAATCTTATTATAAAATTGATCTTATCGTTTATCAACTGATAATAAGTAGAACATATATATAAACACAAACTTTAACAAATAAAAATAAGAATGCTTGTGACAGCCCTGTTTTCTTAAGGTACACCTGCGGTCACAGGTAGTTATACTTAAGGCGGCGTCCAGGCCAATAAATTACGCACCGGGTCGGGTCAACGTGGGAAATGCGATGCGCAGGCGTCCGTGACGAATCGCGACGAATCGACGCCAATCGGCTGCGTCTGCAGTATTCGTTCTATTTACATTTGTTTATGTGTTTAATATATTGTTGCTCGTCGCTAGTTCGTTTAGAAAATGTTTCGATCAACAATCGTTTGTTTTTTCTATTAATATTCTTTGTTTCTAAGAAATTTTAATATTTCATGTACTTATTTCTAAGTGTTTCTAATTAAAATTCGTTTTTAAAATGTGTCGCTTTATACGAAACTCAAGGATAGCTAACTTTATTCTATTTATCAGGAGTTGAAAGACATTCCATACGAAAGAAAACCGACAAAATGACAAGTAAATAGTGACCATCTTATCCTTTAGCGGAATCGCTTCAACTTTGCATAAAATAAAAAAATGGGAATGTTAATTACTAGAATAATATTCTAGCGACATTTGTACAGCAAAAAGAAGTATCTAATATTTTTCTATGATCTGACGCATTAAATAGATTTTCATTTTTGCCCAGACCATCTCACAGTCACAATATCCTAAAATTGTATAACAAAAGGATCTTCGAATCGTATTTAATTATATTATGTTCCATATTATGACTTCGGTAATAATTATACTCGATAACACCACCAACTTCAAGCATCTCATATAGCATGGTTCACACACGGCGTGTGAAGACACGCTCTGTTGGACGAACGTCTTCAGTATCGTCTTCGGACACGGTTCCATGCCCACGCGTGAGAAATGATTTTTTGACTAACGAACCACGTCACAAATATTTGGTTACTAAATGAAATTATATATAAATACTAGCTGTTATCGAGCAATACATCCCTACGTAAATTATATTCTTAAGCACCCGGTGTAGCTTCGCAGGTGAAAGAGTTTTCATGATCTGATTAGTATTTTTATTCCTACAAATGACCAAACTACGTTAGAAACTTAACCTCTTTATATTATTATAGCACAGATATATAAATTTCATGTCAATCAACTTTACGTTATATATTATATTCGAAATGCTGCTTTTTCCGCTCAAGTGATAAAATTATAGATTAAGATAGATACTTTAATTTAAAGATAAGTATTTTATCCATCAAAGCTCGTAACTATAGTAAATAATTTTAAATATAATCGTCTGTTGTATTTATAAATACGTTCCAAAATCCAAAAGTTTTCCGAAATTCAATTCCGGTATAGAATGTATTTTGAATTGATCCAAACTAAGTGCTCTATAATTTTATCCAAAGACTTTGTAGAAAACGTCAATCTAGTCTACGTAAATGCGATAATAGCATGCTAATTACTATGATATTGTGTGGTAGATCTCATGTAGATCGTGGTAGATCGAACCACATCGCTCAATAAACGCATTACTTAAATTCTCACCCGCCCAATTACGTCTGATAAAACCTTAATTATATCTTGTCATAGATACTTGATACTTCTTTCAGAGCTACACATTTCACGATTACAATAGCATTGTTTTACATAAAGGAAATCTTTAACTGTAGAATAAAAATGAAATATAAATCTTTCCAACTTTTCACAATAACAATACTAGGGTATTGTCGTCATTCAGTGGTCCACTCTGATTGATCAACCACTCTTTGTACTAGGGAAAGTAGTCATTGTACTAAAAGCCCTTTTGAGCTGTCGCTGTGAATTAAACTCGCCGATACTGGCTAGTTAAGCCAGTAATGCGTCATTCAAAACGGCTGGTTGTGGACGAGTGATACAAAATAGCCTTTATTCCAGTACTTGGATTTAAAGCAGTATAAAGCAGTTTTAAGAGTCTAAATTATTACAAAAATTTTAATTTAACAACCAAAAAGGAAATTTCTAGACCCTATAATCCCACACAAGTCTTAACAATCCTTTTGTTATCCTTTATCCAAAGGTAGGTGGGTTACATTAATGTTTCAAACATATATGTAAATAGATATAATACCGGTAATACTTATAGAAATTACAATAATGTTTCAGGTATTTTTTCCATGGAATTTCTATTTTGTACTATCTTATCTCTTGTTACGATAATGCTTTGCAAATTATTGACAGTCTCTAACTATCACTGTGACACTTTTCCAATCGTTAAGGGATCGTTATTTGTTTGTCGCTGCTGTCTATCCATTCGTACCAAGACGTGATGCTCAGTTTGTTCCCCACAAGTAAAAGAAAAAAGCGATAAAAAATAATACATTTTATTTTCATAAAAACTTGATTACCCATATATAACCCTGAACAATTTATGGCAAGAGTAAATAGATTCCTTCTGGGCAAGCTTATCCCTCAATAGATCTCATTTATGATAGATAGATATGACTGAGCCAAACAACTAAAAATATGTCGAAATAATAAATCAAAATTATTAACACAATCATAGAGGTAGTTTAAATTTTAATTTATAAGCATATATTTGTTATAACTTTATGTTTTAATTAAAATTTATATGCTTAAACCAAACAACAAATATTAGTGTATTTGTTACAATAAAATTTCAAATTTCTGAGTTCAGTTTTAAACTTAAATTTCAATAGAGGTTTAAAATAAATCGCAGTAATTTAATAAGATTACTTGCTGTTGACTATAAAACTGATAAACATTGATATATCCAGTATTAAATGTATAAAGCAGACATGTTAATGACTAATGTGATTTTTTCAACTGAAATTAAAACAAGATGCAGACAAAAATACTAGTTTTAGGCTAAAAACTGTGATAATGTATTATAGATATTAATAATTTTATAATCGCTT